AAAAATAGCCAGGGCAGCGCCCATAGCTCAGTGCGTAGGACACTGGCCACATACACCAAGGCTTGTGGGTTCAAGCCTGTCTGGGGCCTGTTAAACAACAATGACAACTACAACCAAAAAATAGCTGGGCATTGTGGCAAGTGCCTGTAGTCCCAGCTACTTGGGAGGCTGAGGCAAGAGAATTGCTTAAGCCCAAGAGTTTGAGGTTGCTGTGAGTTGTGATGCCACAGCTCTCTACTGAGGGTGACGCTGTCAAAAAAAAAAAAGAAAGAAAGAAAGAAAGAGAGGAAGGGAAGCAGGAAGGGAAAAAGGAAAGAAAGACAATCAACAGGGTTCTTTCAGATCCACCCATGCAAGTTTCAACTTGCTCAGCTAATTCATGTTGCTGGGAAGGCTTCATTTGTTTGCATCTGCATGGATTTTACATTTCTTCTTCTTTTTTTTTTAATGCCCTCTCAGTCAAAGATTTTATGTTGCTTGATTTTTATGTTGCTTGTGTATCTCTAAACTTTCATAATAACCCAAGAAAAATCCTGTGGATGGGACTAGTCAAAGATTGTCATGAAAGAGGCGGAACTTATGCAAGAGTTTAAAGAAAGGAAACAAAGGCCTAGGATCAAATCCAGACTACTGCCTTTTTTTTTTTTGAGACAGAATCTCACTATGTTGCCCTCAGTAGAGTGCTGTAGCATCACAGCTCACAGCAACCTCAAACTCTTGGGCTTAAGTGATTCTCTTGTCTCAGCCTCCCAAGTAGCTGGGACTACTGGTCCCCACCTTAATACCTGGCTATTTTTTTTGCAATTGTCATTGTTGTTCAACTGGCCTGGGCTGTGTTGGAACCCACCAGCCTCAGTGTATGTGGCTGGCACCATAACCACTGTGCTACTGGTGCTGAGCCTGGATATATTTTTTTTTCTTTCGAGACAGAGTCTCAAGCTGTTGCCCTGGGTAGAGTGCTGTGGTGTCACTGCTCACAGCAACCTCAAACTCTTGGGCTCAAGTGATTCTCTTGCCTCAGCCTCCCAAGCAGTTGGGACTACAGGCACCCACCACAACACCCGGCTATTTTTCTGTTGTCCTTGTCATTGTTGTTTGGCAGGCCTGGGCAGGATTCCAACCCACTAGCTCCGGAGTATGTGGCTGGTGCCCTAGCTGCTGAGCTACAGAGCCTGAGCCACATTTTATTTTTAAGATTTAAACCTTTTTAGTTTATGTGGTCATTTAATTAATTAATTATTTTCCAATTAATAAGAGGGTACAAATTTTTAGGTAATATTGTTCTCACTTCCAGGGTAAAGTTCAGTTGTAAAAGAACTCCCCCCTCAGGAGGCGTGTTATATACCCTCACTACGTGCATATTAGGTGAGATCCCGCCTCATGCCCTCTCTCCTTCTGCCAATTGTCCTCCCCCCTCCCCTTTCCTGCTTCCCTCTACCCCCATACTAGACTATATTTGTGTTTTATTGTTCATATGAGCATGTAATTGTTCATATATTGTTCTCATATTAGTATGGAGTACATGGAATATTTATTTTCCCATTCTTGTGATACTTTACTAACAAGGATATATTTCGGCTCCATCCAGGTAAATGCAAAAGCTGTAAAGTTTCCATCTTCTGTTATGGCTGAATAGTACTCCATGATATACATATACCACAGTTTGTTGTTCCATTCATGGGTTGATGGGCACTTAGGTTGTTTCCATGACTTGGCAATTATGAATTGAGCAGTTATGGATACATTTAGTGCCATTCACCAATGGAGCATGGAAACAAATGTTTGTAACTGGAAATATAGTTACAAGGGGGTTTCAAGATCAGAAATGGAGAATTACCATGTGGTTACCACATGGTTGGTAACTGAAGCTTTGGTAATGGATAAGATCTCTTAGGCCTGTAATTCTAGCACTCAGGGAAGCTGAAGCAGGTGGATTGCCTGAGCTCACAGGTTTGAGACCAGCCTGAGCAAGAGAAAGACGCCCGTCTCTAAAAGTAGCTAGGCATTGTGGTGGGCACCTGTAACCCCAGCTACTTGGGAGGCTGAGGCAAGAGGGTCACTTGAACCCAAGAGTTTGTGGTTGCTGTGAGCTATGACCCCATGGCACTCTACTGAGAGTGACAAAGTGAGACCCTGTCTCAAAGAAAAAAAAAAAGATTTCTTAGGAAGGGGCTGGGCACCATAGCTCATACCTATAATTCTGGTGCTTTGAAAGGCTAAGGTGGGAGCATCCCTTAATCTCAGGAGTCTGAGACAAGCCTGAGCAAGACAGAGACTCCCATCTCTACTAAAAATAGAAAAATTAGCCAGGCGTTGTGGCAGCCAACTGTAGTCCCAGGTACTCAGGAGGCTGAAGCAGGAGAATCACTTTACCCCAAAGGATTGAGGTTGTTGTGAGCTATGATGCCACAGCACCCTACCCAGGGCAACTGAGTGAGACTCTGTCTCAAAAAAAAAAAAGATTTCTGAAGAACAAAATATAGTATCAGAAGAGAAAATGGATCCTATATAATATATGTCACTTTAAGGGACATAGGCAGAAGAAGAGGAATGGCAGAAGAATATATTGTCACATAAAATGACAAAAGTGACAAAATAAAAGATTATTTTTTTTGAGACAGAGTCTCAAGCTATCACCTTGGGTAGAGTGCTGTGGCATCACAGCTCACAGCAACCTCAAACTCTTGGACTCAAGTGATTCTCTTGCCTCTGCCTCCCAAGTAGCTGGGACTATAAGCGCCCACCACAACGCCCAGCTATTTTGTTATGTTGTTGTTGTTGTTGCAGTTGTCATTATTGTTTTAGCAGGCCCGGGCCAGGTTCGAACCCACCAACCCCAGTGTATGTGGCCGGCGCCCTAACCACTGAGCTACAGGTGTCACCCATAAAAAATATATATATTTTTTATATATCTTTTTTCTTTCTTTTTTTTTTGCAGTTTTTGGCCAGGGCTGGGTTTGAACCCATCACCTCCAGCATATGGGGCCGCCCCATAAAAGACATTTTTTAAAGATATCAAGAACGAGGAAGTTGCCTCAGCGCCCATAGCTCAGTTTTTAGGATGCCAGCCACATACACCAGGGCTGACAGGTTCAAACCCAGCCCGGGATAACTAAAACAACAATGACAACTGCGGCTTGGCGCCTGTGGCTCAAGCGGCTAAGGCACCAGCCACATACACCTAAGGTG